GCGGCGGAGCCGGCGGCGTTTGACAGGAGCGCGGGCAGGACACGCCTCCCCTCGCCGGAGCGGCCCCGCTGCCTCCCCCGCGGCGGTAGCGGTGGCTCCCCGCCCTCTCGGCTGGGGCTGCTCCTGATCGTCCCTGCCCGGCGACCCTGCCCGGCGAGGTGCTGGGGTGCGCGCGTCGACCAGAAAAGCCGGATGCTTGTTAAAAGTCGTTTAATTCGGAGCGCTCGCTTGTGTTGGGTAAGGGGGCTGCGGGTGCCGCTTGAAGACGACGCGGTGCCAGACGTGGCCTGTTGTGGGGCACTTGTCGGGTTGCGATGCACTGCGGCACTGTCTCCGTTTTCTTTACAGTTAAACTGCGTATGTGGCATATATTGATTGTCGACTTAAAGGGGGTATCTTTCACGGAGAGTCATAATTTTGAATGGTCCAAAGAAAGTAATTCAAGTATGGAAAGTTCTGTTGCTGTGTTGTGCGTCATTGTTATCTTTAGCTTCTAGGCTAACCTGCAAAACACACTGCAGTGCTGTGGCGTGTATCAAGTTAAATTTTATGTTCAGTTATTCTTTAGGAGTGAAGACGTGCTTTAAGTGTTAATACGATTTAAAGTTGAAGTCTTTCCCTACAGTTATGTGCTGTTCCTCACTGATGTCTTAGACTATGAGAGATAGCAAAAAATAATTCTAAGACCTAAAAGGTTTAATGAAAATGGGAAATGCTGATATATTAGTGAGTTCTGGTAATGTCAACTTTGCTTGTGACTCATGCATCTCCAAACTAACGTGGACAAGGTGATTAAAACTTAAAAAGCATAGACTCTGCAGATGGGACAGTAGCTTTTCAGAGCATGCTGTGTCTAACTTGTAAACAGCTCTTCAAGTTTGACTGGTTATGAATTTTTTTATAATGCAGAGTAACAGTCTTAAACCTTTGGATTTTAAAATCATTCCTACCCCACCTTACTCTTTGGAAGTGGCAGAGCACAGCAGTTGGTGAGGCAGTCACTGCAGCTCTGGAGCAGATGGGAGCAGTATTGCAGCAAGGCGTTCGCTGCGTTACACTTGGGTTTTGGGCTGTCACGTTAACGTTGCGGAGTAAATAGGGGAGTGAATGCATTGCGCTGTACCAGCTCTCCAGGGGCCACCATCAAGTGCTGTTCAGGCCACAGCAACCCACAGCCCATGTGAGTGGCTGCACTTAGAGCGTGTCCACAGAAATTCCTTGTACAGCCAGGCTGCGCGTTGTGGGGCAGGGGGAGCCGGTTTTCTCCCTTAGGGTACCATAAAATGTAAGTACTGTTTAAGAATGATATTTCTGATGTAAAGAAAAAGTGCATTGGATACACGTCTGTTAGTATTTTATTTATGGGAAGTCGCACAGTAATGCAAGTGGGAGGCTGCAGGAAACAGTGTATGGTGAAACTGAGGTTGAGACCGGGAAGTGTTTATATGTCTTTTAACTTTAAAATGGTCTGGTCTTGAATATGAAAATAGAGTTTAATGATGTGCTATAGTGAAAGTATAAACTACTTTCACAACAATTAGGGGCCATGAAAATATGAGAACATAACTAGATTGTTCTTAACATTCAGATACATATAAGTCTTGAGATAGGAATTTTAGGAAACAAGCAACGGCTGTACTTTAGAATATTTTTCTTTTGTTCCTACGTTGATGCTTTTTTTTCCCCCTTTGCTGTGACTGCCGTTGCTGTGACCAGATAGTGCTCTTAAGGCAGAGGCATTGTTTTCTGGAGTAACTGCTCAAGTTTAAAAGAGGCATTTTGCTAGTGTGAAATTTGTAATACTGAGAAAGCATTGATTCCAGTACCTGTCTACAATTTGTGCTAAAATGCAACTTTACTTTAGAGAATATGAAGAAACTCGAAGCAGACATATATAGCTGCTTCTGCCTGCTGTACATAGGTTTCTACTTTTGTTTTATTGATATTCCAATGGAAAATTGAGCTTTGAGCAAGTCCTGTTTACTCCCTTTACTGAGTGAATGTATGGGGACAAATGAAGTCCTCTGCAATTATCCACTGCTACTAAATAGTGTCAGTAACAGGAAACGACGTTTGTCATTAACTGTTCAGGACACTGCGGCTGGCTTTCTTACTTGTCTGGATACATCTATCTCAAACAGGGTGAGTGAAATACATAGCTATTCTTTTCATGTTTTAAAGAAATCCTTAGAGATATTATTTCACAGTCTATTATGGTATTTTTAAAGTGTAAATATAGAACAAATTACAGGTAGGGATCGGGACGCTGCTTCAAGGAGTCTAGACAGGGGAGGTTGTTAACCAACTTTGTGAGCTCCACATCTGCAGGGCATTTAAAGTTCTGTTCCTTCCCATTTGAAAGAAATAGCCTTAAGCATCCAGCCTTAGTGCTGATTGCTTCTTTCAGAGATTAAAATCTTAAATGTAAAGGACTATACCGTTTGTATTCTTTAAAGTGTAAGACATGCAACATAAATTGCCCAGAATGAGATTTTTCTGGCATGTGGGAAAAGCCAGAAAAGCCCAGATAAAATTGTCAAGTGCAGTAGAGCAGTGGGTAAATAAGAAACAATGGAAATGTTAAATTTAAAGTTCCAGAGTATTTGTTAACATTGTAATACAATTTGATGAAAAATTGTTTTTTTACTGTGATTTGTGCTTTTGATATATAAGGGTGCTTTTCCTAGAAAATCTGTACATCTTTGGAGATTTCTTGTAAGGTCCAGTTGCTCTATAATTAAGTGTTATGGAGCTTTAATATTAGTTATAGGCACTTAAGTTTATTTCGCATTGTAACAATGACTGACAATGTGTGTGTGAGCAGCTTATGGTGTCTATGTGGAGAGGCAATTAATTTGTTTGAGGTACAGTCACTGAAAAGTGAGGCAGTTAAGTACTTAAGTGAAATGTAGGGTTTTTTAAGAGTATGTTTCTCTGTAAATACTATTTTTGTACCTTCGTGCACCTGCTGGCTGACTTGATATGTGTGGGCAGAGAGGGCTGAGGGTGTGTATCCAGCTCCTGCTGCACTGCTGGCCACAGAGCAGCAATCCTGCCTCGCTCCTGGGAGCAGCAGGAGATGATTTGGTGAGTCACCTGCTCACTCCAGGTGTGTTTCTGTAAACACACCACATTGCCTAAAACTTGTATTTGGTATCTGTGATCTCTTCAAGTAGCTTACCATCTTTTGGGATGGGAACGGTGGCTTCAGGTACCTGAGCCAACAGTGAGCAGGCTCCCCTTTTATATGTGGCAAATCTATGCACAAAGAGTAACTGGTGCATAAATGGTGTTGATGACATTCAGAGGTACTTTTGTCTCATCCTTGTTAGTCTTTCTGCTTGGTCAACAAGGGTGTAGGTCTGGAGGAAAGTCAGGAGCTGCTTCATAACCATTCAGAAAGCAGCAGCTGTCTCTATTAGCCAAGTTATGACTTTTATTTATTTGGTCTTGCTCTTGTTTCTTTAATATACAATGGACATTTGGCGTAAGTGCACACAACTAAACTGTTTGTAGTAGAGGGGATATAATGTGTTACACCCTTAGCACTGTGTGTCTGCAGGGATAAGCTGTGCCCTTAGCAACTCTGTGCCCAAGATCCCTCTCAGGAAAAGTAACAGCTTTAGTTTCTATGTCTTCCAGATGGGACCAAAAAGTCATTATTTTCTTCTCTTGGAAGTATCCATTTTCTTCTCTAAATGAAGTATAGATTTATTCTTTGTGATGTTAAGCTCTGTGTCTCTTTTATCTCAGCAGTCTTGTTTCAAGACTGATTCATAGTTCTGAACTTCAACTAAGGCACCTGCTTTATGGGTAGTGGTTGATCAGTTTGGATCCAAGCTGGCACTTGGTGTACTGATAGTGTGCTTATTGTGGTTCTTATGTGTTCTCTCTTCTGTTTTTCTGAATTACTTGCAGAACCTAATATCAAAGTCTTTCTGAAATACTACACCTTTAGCAGAATTTTAGTGCTCTTTCATGTGTTTTAGCAGTGACAGCCTTTCTGCTTCACAGGTAAGATACTGTCAAGATATCTTTTGTCCAAACTAATCCTAAAGTACATTTTCTTTATTGGCTCTGTAAGAATAATGCTATACCCAGTTTGTGCATGAGCATGACTGATTACTGATTTTTTTTTTTTTTAAACCCATAAGTGGTTTATATTCTTCCTATTTATATATTGTCATCTAAACCCAAGTAAAACATTGTATTAAAGGTAGATTTGCTGTTTAGATAATTTAATTCTAGGCCTTCAACTTCATGAATCAGGTCAAATTCTAGTTAAGATGCCAAAGGAATTCCGTCATTTTAATTTCCATCAATTTTCATAAAAGCGATGAACTTTGATGGAAATCTAAGTCACTTGTCTTCTTAAGGTAATACGAGACTCCTTTTAGTGTAGGGTAAAGACGAGGTTGAGCCTTTCATCCTCTACCATACATTAGTTCAGGGAGCAGCTGAAGTTTATAAAACCTGTAAGAGAGTAGCACCATTTTAATGAGGTGCATATCTAAAATGAAGCATGTACCATTATTTATGTACTGTGTGGAATCTATCAGAGATTAATGCAGGCAGGTTCAGTGGAAGGAGTGCAGTTCTTGGGGCACTTTTAAAAGCCCACTTAAAAAGGGCAGTTTGTAAAACAGTCTTGTTCATGGAGGAATGTGAAAGGGTATCAGAGCTGCTAAATTTGGTGGAACTCTTTTTTGTCACTAATGTCTCTCAGGGGCTCAGAGATTAAAAGGGCTGCTGCATGTTTGATGGCAGTTCCCCTACCAAATCTCTTGTATGTGTACCCTGCACTGGAGGGCTGTAAAGAAGCAGACAGTGGTTTTTTGGGAAGGTCAGATGATATTAACTGGTTTTGATCCCAAAATAAGTAGTGTTATGATTAGATGGAAAACTCTGAATATAGTATGTAATTATTTTTCAGCTTGTTGTAGGAAAATATAGACTGAATATTCTCTAGTTCTCAATGGTTTAAGCACTGGGTGGAAGAAAGAGGGGGGATTGCCTTCAGGAAGGGGATCTCCAGAAACAGCAGTAAGGGAGATACTCTGCCTCTGCTCTGGGCCAGAGCTACATACAGCCCATGACAGATATGCTGTCACGCCAAGGAAGAGGGAGGAGATTGCCCTGTTGCGGCTTGCTTCACCTCTGGGTTGTTTTCTTTTTAGTATAACTGGAAAGTTGTCATAGAAGCTGGGAAGAGAGATACAGATTTGCTGCACATTTTCCTGATGCTTTGAGTCCTTAGTCTTCTGTTTTTGAAGAGTGAAGCAAATAGTACAGCAGAGTATTTGCAGCTGTCTAGTCCTTTGAGCACTTAGGAGTTGTAATGTCTTTTATGACCTGTTAGTGCTTTGTTAGCTGCAAAAATGTCTAGCAGCACTGAATGGTCCTTTGGAATGGCAGTTAGTGTGATTCTTGGGGTTGTCCTGTCCAGGGACAGGAGTTGGACCTTGATGATCCTTGTGGGTCCATTCCAACTCACAACATTCTGTGATTGAATAATAATGTTTGTCCAAATAGGTGGACAAATATTTTTAGTGGCATTTGCATGAAGATCCCTTACGTAAGGGGACTTTTTGAGTTAGAGAAATAGCACAGCTGTCAGCACCAGCAACAGGTGAGTCCAGTGCATGTGCCTGGAAACTGCAAGCAGCTCTATATTTTGGGTTTTTTTTCCGGCAGAAACATTGTCTCAACAGGGGAGCTATCAGGAAATTACTTAAGGGTGGTTCAGTTCTGGTTGGTTTGGTTTTGCTCCCTGACTGGACGCCAGTATGTGGGATCAGTGTAGTTATTCCATGATATAAGCCATGGAGTGTCACAGCAGCAGAAGAAGGAGTTGAGGAGAATTGTGTCTTTGTTAATATACCCTGGCAGGGAATCCCAGTCAGGGACAATATGTTGTTTGGATTCTCAGGTGGGAGAAAGAAACAGGTATTCTATGCTCTGGAAGAGGATGGTAGCAGAAATATGTTGTTGTTTGCGTTGAGTACAAATGAGTGGAGACAAATATGTTGTTCTGAAGCTGGGGTGCTGACAGCAGTCGGATGCTGTGCAGAAATGTCCCAAGGCTGATCTCCATGCCTTCAGTGAAAAAAAAAATAAATTGTGCATGCTATTTGACTTCTGTAGATTTCTTCATCAGACTAAAAGTATGTGTTTCTCTGGATACTCTGTTGTGAATAAAAAATCTGGACCTCAGGGATGAATTTGCTGACTGTGCGCTGTGTGGCTAGAGCTCAGTTGGTTCATAACTGAACCAAGCTTTTACAATCCTTTTCTGTGTGAAGGCAATATAGAAGGGAGGAAGCCAAAGTTGCCTAAAAGGGTGAAAAATCCCCTTTCTGCCATTGGGCCTCTGTTTGTCTTTTTCCCTTTTTTCTCTTTATGTATTACACTCTGTGACTGCTGCTGGTGTTGTTGCTTCTTGTCTGCTAAAGACAAGTGCAGAAAAGCTGTATAGGTATGTATCTTTAGTGTTTGGGCATCTCATGCTATATTTGCAACAGCAATTTCTTTTCTCCCTCACCTGCTGTATTTACACTGTGCTGAAAGTAAGCTCAGTGCTTTGCAGAATGAATAATTTGAGATCTTTCTTCCTGTGTCAAGGGAGGCTGAGCTGAAGACAGAGAAGATGTAGCTGAGTGTAGAGACAATTTCATGCAGGTATGTAGCTCTTAGTGCTAATTGTACAGATTTTTTATTTTTTTTCATAATTTAATTAGTTTGCTTTATGAAAAAAAAAACTTGAGTTAGGTATTTGGACAAAGCCAGGTTGAATAATGATGATTAATGTTTTCAGGAAGAGTACTCAAGGCTTGAAGCGGGAAGTGGAAAACAGCACAGAGGTTTCAGTGTGCTGAATTCACCAAAATATTTAAACAAATTGTCAAAATCTTGTGCTACTGTAAATATGTACTAACAAGCTACTAAAACTGGCAGTTTTGTTTAAGATAGAAATATAAGTTATATTTTTTTATTTATTTTAATATAACATTAAAATACCCTTTCATGTGGGAAGATTGGCATTTTAAGAATATTTAAAGCTGTTAATGGCCAGCCAGCCTCTTCGCTGAACTGCTGACTTCACACATACCATTTCCTTTTTCAGGTTTTTACAACCCCATATCTTCTGACTTTTAAAGCAGGATGGGGAGGGAGGGAAGGAGGAGAAAAGCTTTTTCATTTTTTGTTGGTAGCCATAGAGCAGCTCTAACTGCAATTTTAAAAATTACTGTCAATTTAGTAAATGTTAAATCTGCATGACATTAATTGCTTCTGTTGTGCATTAATACAAACTATGCTGTTTAATTTGGAGACCTTACTTCTCTGATATTCTCATTTATAAGTATTATTTCTTGTTTCAGGATTTTTTGGGACAAATCTTTGGTCTAAACTTGTTACTGTTGCTTTTTAAAATATATAATGCCTTACTCTACTGAATAACACACTTTATATGCTTTGAGAATTTAGAGAGAGTTTTACATTCCTGAAATGTATGACTTACTGTAATTACAGTTGCTCATATTCTAAAGCAGGTCGTAAACTTACCTGGAGAGAATGCAGAACATTTTCAGGCAATATTTTACTGCTGACAGCTTAAAAGTTTGTTTATGCTAATCACTTCATAAATAGTGAGCAGTACACCACTGGTGACTTACTGAGCCATTTTGCAAGTGCAGAAAATTCCTGCTTGATGTTAGAGTGAATGACATTACAAAAATATATTTGTAAAGCACTAAGTACCCACTTGCTTTCTTTAACAACTTAAGAAATACTAAAGCTTAGTTGTTTTAATGATATATATGACTAGTTAATATTTGCTTCGATGGTTCGAAAGCCTATAAATTTGATTAAAGTCTGTCTGTCCTAGCTTTGCATTTAGTGACTACAGGAGGTGTTCAAATATATCAGTTTATTAAAAGTTTAGCTCCAGGAAAATGTGGAAGTTTAATTTCCTTTCCTTGAAAGAATTGAACTTTTTTTTTTTTTTATTTAAATACAAAAATGTGAACTAAAAGGGATTCCAACTCAGATCAAATTTCTTTTCAGAACACCGACTGATTATGTGCATAAATGAAAAACTGATTTTTAATATTTTGGTTTAAAGTCATATATGTGTAATGCTAAATAATACTGAGTTTATAAATACAAAGCTTTTGTTACATTTTCTGAAGTTCTGATACATTTGCTTAATTTTTCTTCCTTTAGCCTTTGAGATCTTACTTTTCCATAAAGATGCCACAGTGTGCGCTGAGAGGTACACTATCTCTATTACAAAAATAAGGAAGTATGCTGTTGTGTCTTCAAGTATACTAGATGAGTCTATATGCTGGGTAATTTGCTGGAAATTATTTTTAAGTATTGCAAATTTTATTTAATAAAATACAGTATATTATTTAAAAACTCTTTTTAAATTTTACTCTCGTTTGCCTCTTTTCAGTCCCTTAAAGACTTTTAAAAATGGTATGAAGTAGGGTTTTTATTTAAGAAACAACAGATGAATAGATGATTAGGTTTAAGGAAAAGGTGTTCCAGATTCATTAAGGATAGCTTTGAAGTAATGCAGTTAAGTCTTATTTGTTTGGGAAGCGACTGGTGCCTGTAGGTACATGTTCCCCATGTGTGGAGTCTGGAGTGGGAACTATGGCTGCTGGACTGTGTGTCCATGGAGGAGGCTGCACAGGCCCTTTCCTTGAAGGGCTCTGCAGCGCTGGCAGTGACAAACAGCAGGGAGAGGAGCAATGGGAGCGTGGCCAGAAGTTGTAGCTGATGTCTCGTGTGTTTCTAAACATAATAGCACATGAATGCTGGTGGTGAAAGCAAATGTAAGACTTGTACAAACGAAAAAATTGGCAGAGGGAAGTATTTCTTAGCTTGCACCGTACCTATTTTCTGTCTATAACTGGTTTTGCTGTTCAAACTATGTATAATTCTTTTTCACCCTTGCATATGGAGTTTTAATCTTGAAGCATTTATAGGCAAAAAAAGGGGCAAATATAACTCCTTGTTCATATTATACCTGAAAAATGTCTGCCTTTATTTCAGACTAAAACTGAGAACTTCATCGATGCTTCCAAGTGTCTGTTTTGTTAGATTCCTCCTCAGTGCAGTATGTCTGTGTAAAATAGCCTCAGTCCTTATCCAGCAGAGATTCCCCATTGATGACTGTCCCACCCATGAAGATGCCAATGGTGAAGTCTGAGTTACTGCATTTGTACCACTGGTAGGGTCAAAAAAGCTAATGGGCTTTAAAATTGCTGACTGTTGTCCTGCCTTAGATGCAGAGTCATTGAGAGAAAAACTTTAATCCTTTTTGTGCAGACTGAACCCTCAATATCCTTTTTGCTTAGCCTTCTTTAAAATGTTACATTTATCTCCATAGTTCTGTTGTGTGTTTTTATGAGCAGGCATGCTGTCTAGATAAACTTGTACTGGGAAGCCCTAGATATGCATAAATTATTCTTTTCTTCAGGACATTTGGCTTATTTGAGTGCCTGACTAACAGTGAGAAGGATAATGCAGATGCATGGCAGGCAAAAGGGGGAGCAATTTTGATATTTTCCGTAGAATACTACCTTCTTTGAAATGCAGCAATATGTGCCCTTTGAGTAATTCTTTCAAAATAGAAAGAGCAAAGTTAGGCAGGAAAAATGTTTTCAATCTTGTTTTCTGACACCTGGTATTATGTACTAGCAAAGCAGAGAGAGTGAAGACTTAGGCTTGTCTACTAATATAATGCTTTCTGACAAAGGACTTGCACAGTGGGAGGTGGCCAGTAGAAGTGATTTGGGGATTAACAATAAAAACTTCAGTAGGGAATTAAAGGCAGATAAATGCTTTTGATCTGATTTTTAAAAAAGTAATTCATGTCAGGGATGTTAATCAGAGAAAGACTAAAACTCAGTTTACAGAATGAATTGAGACATAAGTGATGTAAATAACACACTTCATCAGTGTGGATATCCTTTGAGTGCTCTTTGGATTGAGGACATTTTGATGATTAATCCAATATTATCCTAGGTATGTGGATTTTTTTTCCCCCCTTGCTTTTTCCTAAATTTGCAGCTAATGGTTTCTCACTGGATTCTGTACTGACAGTCTCTTAAATACTTTGGTCATTTTCTGTCTGCAGCTGACAACCTCTGTGCTTATCTCAGTCTTTATAACTTTGGTTTTCACTCTGCTGATGTGTACGCTCTAATACCACTGCATTTCAGCCTTGTCATTGCATTTCTTTATTTGCTTATTTTTCCCTATTTCTAGAGGCTGCTTGATTAATTTCTTAACCATGTCTTTCTCATTCAGCTTGCTTGCCAAGACACACATACAAGAATGCCTTGAGATCTGTCTTTGCTATGTAATTTTGCCAGAATGTGCCCTGGAGGTGTATCCCCTGTGTTTGCTGGTGGTTTTCTTCTTTTCTATGGCGGGTGTGCTGTGGGTTGAGCCAGGCTGGGGATGGTGAGTGCGACATAAGGGACTCTGTCTTGATTAGCGAAGGACACAACTGCCTTGCTTAGGGTTTGCCACTTAAGTACGTGAGGTGATGGAAAATAGTTCCTAGATCTGCCCCTGCAGAAGAAGTTAAAATTTGTTTCAGGTTGACCCTGCCCTGTTTTTGAGGTAGCTGGTTTTAATTTTGCTGAGGTTCAGCAACATGTAGTGGTTGTTAGAGGCTCAGAAATGCAGTTCTTGAGTGTTGTCTGTGAAAAACAGTACAATCTATGAGCTAATTTAATAGCAGCTTTAAATCGAATACTTAGGTGTAACTGAGTTCTAAGTAGCACCTCTTGGAAACAGTAATATATTGTGTTCCTGCAGTTGGGTTTGCCTCATTTCAAATAGCTCTTTCAGAACTTTCTGTTGTCTTATATTTTTAACAGGCTGGTGGGCATGCTGTAAAACAGCCTATCTGGTACAACACAAGCTAATGAAAAGCTGGAATCCTTTTTATGTTCTCACAGACGCTTCAGTTGTGCTAAACTTGATGACTATCACTGCAGGGTTGGAATCTTTATTACTGCACCAAGTGCAATCTGGTACTTGGAACAAAAAGATAAAAACCATTCGCTGTTCTAAAGTAATCTGTAAAAACAGTTACTTTGACTCTGCATCACCTTTCATGATTTATTTGCTTGCAGTGGAAAAGCTTTGAATTTTTGGGGGAGTCTGTGAAAGTATAAAGTATTTAAAATTTATTTGATGGCTTAAAAGGATTTCTGTTCTTAATACTGATGATCACTTATGCTATGAATGCTATTGTGTAGCAAAACCTGCTTATTTTATGGTAGTATTCAGTTTTATTTATAACTCCTTTCAAGTCTTAGTCTTGAGTCCTTGTAGTAACTGTCCAGCATGGTCACAGGCAACACTCACATGAAATGAATTCATCAGTCACTGACATTTTAAAAAAACCCTTTTAATTAGCTTTAGCTGTGGTCTTGCACTGTATAAAGTTTTCTTCATCCAGTCCATCATCATAGTGTGCAAGTTTCTTGAAGTTTTAGTAAAGTATCGCAGTTTCAGGAAAGTACTCAGTTGTATGATACTTCTCTTTTTATATGTGATACATATGTGTATTTTAATTTATTTTTTTCACATGTGAGTAGAAGAGTCAAGAAATTCCAAGTAGCCTGCTTTTCAACTGTTACTTCTTTTATGTCACAGTGGAAAGATGTAGCTTCTAAAAATGTTACCTTTGACAAAATAATTTGTGGAAAAAATATGCACATATTTAAATTTTTAAAACTTCAGATTTTTGGTGATGTCAGCTTTAAACCTCATGGAAGTTGCTTGAAAGGAAATTATCTAAGAACACAATTTGAATGTATTTACCCATTATTACATGGAAAGTTAATAGAGAAGTATAATAAACTTGCTGGCTTTGTTGCTTCAGGGCTAAATATTTGAAATTAGTTTGACTTGAACACAGTCAAAGTTCAAAATATTACATGCTGGAGAAGAAAATCACAGTAACACACACAAAAAAGAAAGTTTGTTTTTGCTGTTTTACACTAGTTTAACCAATCTGTCCCTTCCAGTTTCTAAACTCTAAATGAATGTGGCTCATTGCTTTTATCTGCAGCTAGCATTTCCCTAACAGTTCTGTGTGCTGTTACAAGTCTGTAACAAATCATAGGGTAGGGGTATCAGTGAGCACTTGTGCCCTGTACAGATTTTTTTACATTGGTGTTTTGTTCCATCTTCAACTGTAGTTGTGCAAGATAATGTGTTTTACCCAAAGGTATTGAAGTTGATGGTTGTTTAACTCTGTGCAAGTGAGGAAGGGTGAGTAGGTTATGTGTAAAGAGCCTTCCATTTTTCAGTAATGTTTCTTGGGGGGGGCAAAAAGGGATAAAGCACAGTTTATATCTTTCTTTGTTTTAGAAATCCACAGAAAATGCAAATCATTAGACAATGAACTGTCTAAAACAAGAAAATGAGAGTTTGCATTTGGTACCTTTGCTACTATTATTTAACTTTTCTTTTACACTAATCTCCTACAGATAGTTTGTTAAACACTTGCAATTTAAAACCAGCAAGATAATTATATACCCATACAAAAAAAATCATCCTTTTCAAAAAAAGCAAACCCAAATGCCAACAACAGCTTCCCCCCCCTAACTTGTTGTGTTACTGCTCCACAGGAAACTGTTGTGCTGAAAGGAAGAATTAACTGGTCTTTCAACTTCAGCCTTTTTATTGTGAGAGGGGAGATCACAGAAGTGTTACCATGAGGAGAACAGCAGCGAAAGGTAAGGCCTGGTAGCTTTAATCCAAGAGGAAAGAAAGTGGGTAACCTGCTAAATTCTCTTTTTGGAGCTGGTGGGATACAACATGACAATTTGCTATACTGTTAGATTAAGGAGGACAGTTTGTGATATCTGCTGAATACAGGTAAGTTCAAACTTCACATTGTTTTAGAATACATATGCTGAATTTGGCTGTCTTGGATTCTACAAATTTCATGAGAAGAATTCTGTCTTGTGACAGTCTAGAAACCATTACTGCACTCTGAAATTGAGGAATGTGTCTAGATGTGCTGAAATGTATGGCTTTATTCTGGAGCTGTCTATAATTTAGCAGGATAATAACTAAGCAGTACAAAGAATCAGATTTTATCACAATGAATGGCATTAGCAACTGTCTCTTGAAGATAAAATTAATATTTTAAAAGAAATTCATCCACAAGAGCATGGTATACTGCAAAGGTGTGATTTCTGCTGTGTCATGTCTGCAGATGTTAATTGTGAGCTAAAATAGAGAGTGAGACTTAAGAAGAAACAAGAGTGTTTGGGCTGGTGAAACAAAAAAAATATGAAGAGCAAAAGATCCACTGTCTGAAACCATGTTGCTGCTGCAGATTGTAGTCCTCCCCCAGAAAAGGCTACTAGCACTTGTGTACTTTCCTTGAGCTTTCCACCTTCAACCCAAGCTGCTTTATGGGCTTGTGTGTTCCCTTGGTAAATAATTGTCTTTTGCTAGAATAGATTTTCTATTGGCAGGAGTCATCCATTTTAATTGTTGCACCAAGAGTTTATGGAGGAAGTCTGTTCCCTTCTCTTGTAGGTTTTCTGCGTGGCTGTTGTCTAAGTATAGTCAAAGAGACTCCCTGTTCCAAGCAGATAAGAATCCCACTAGGGAAGCACAAGAAGAAAGGAAAAGAGAAATTTCATAGTCACTCTGTCTGGATATCCTCAGCTGTGTGCACTGAGGCTTGGTGAAAGGTAGCTAAAAGGTGTTCACAACCCTTTGTAGTAGGGAGTGAGAAGGCAGCCCCTTCCTGAGCAGTGGTAAGTCTTGGGCTTGTTTTAGTAAACTTCATTTGAGGGTGAGTAGCTGGGTTACTCATGGGAAGAGCAAAAGTTTTTGTCACCCAAAGGTATTTCACATACATCAGGAAAAGAGAAGGGGTTTGTTTGAGAAGAGCATTATCCTGTCATGTTTTGAATACCCAGAAGAACTGAAGACTTCAAGGTGGCTAAGTGATAGCTGCAGAAGTCTGGAAAGCATGACTGTGAACTTCCTTTTCCCCACATTGGACAACAAGCAAATAACAAGTCTTAGAAGACAGCACATAGATGCCTTCCCATGTAGCACACCATTCTGGGATGAAAACTATTACTGTTAAAAGACATGATGCTTGCCATCACTTAGACAAAACAATCATCTAGCTTGCTGAAAAGTTAAGTCTTCTAGAAAGAGGTTGCAGAGTTTTAGTGTATCTCAGGCAAGAAACTGGAGTTCAGTACAGGAGCTTATAAGAGGAATTACACATTGATCCACCAGGATTGTCTTTGTCCAGAGCTTTACCACTGCCTTCTCTGGTTATTTTTTTTATTTGGTATTCACAAGTCGGTCAGGATAGCTTTGTCTTTTTTTTTTTTTTTCCCTTTGTCTCTAATTTCTTAAGTGATAGATGTGGTTGCTCTTGCCTGTCTTCTGTTGAGTAATCTTATCAGCAAGATTCTGTGGTTAAAGATAGGGTGGGAGTAATGTAAACACACAGATCAGTATGATTGAATCAGTAAGCAGAAAGCACTATGTTAAATAATCCTGCTCTAATCTTGGCTTATATCTAAAGCTTTAGTTTATGAAGTGCACTCTAGAAAAGAAATAGTTAGTGAACAATAGAATATGTTGCTTTTAAAATTTCAGTATATGCTATACTCTAATCTTGCTGCCCTAGAAGAAAGAAATCTTTCATAGGGTATTTAGCCTGTATGTGGTATAGGCTAAATATATACATAGTAAATATATAAATGCTGTGTACTTAAATGTATTACTTTATTTTCAAAACTTTTTTTCTGAAAATGCTCTTCATTGTTTTTTTTAGAGAGCCGGGTAGTGTTTGATTAAGTCCATCTGATTAGGCAGAATTTCATTCTGAGTCTGGTTTTGGCAAATGATCTAACACATACTGTGTTTTACATTGAGAGAATGTAAAACGCTTTTCCCTTTAAAAATGGATAAGGGAAGATAGATGATGAATTAAGATGACCTATTTTTTTTGTTACCATGAGCTTCAAGACTCTAGGACTAATAAAGTCTCTTATGTCTCCACTATAAAAATAGTGTTCCCATTTTCAAATCAATTTTTCAGGTTTCAAGGAATTAGCCATTGAATGTGGCTAGGAGCTGAATGTGCAAGGGGTTGAAAAGAAAATACTCTTTGTACCTGTACAATTATTTACAGGTACATATTATGTCCTTCATTTCCTCATTTTTTGAGGTTTGACCTCAAAGCTTGACCAAGCTGAGGATGATGTGCAGAGAGAGTCATCTTGTTCAGCCCAGTGATTTGAATAATAGCTTCTGTCTAAATTTTCTTCTGTGCTCTTTGGAAACTAAATTTATTAAAATACAGAATATCAAAATTTCAAATGTAGATTGGCATGCATTAAAAAATCAAAGTGTTTATAAAAGACTAATACTTATAAAATTTTATTAATAAAATCTTACTTTTTTTTTTAAAATAAAACATAATTTTTTATCCACCCTAACTGCCAACATTGGAAAAAGCACACCTGAACACAGCTGAGAAGTAGAGACTGAAATACAGACTGAGAGAAAATTTTCTGGGGTGGCAGTAGATACAAGGTGTCTCATATAGAAACAGGTTGGTGTTTCTACCTGCTAGTAACTTTGCATCTGCTTAGACAAAATACTCCGGCTTTGTAATGGTATTCCCAACTTCCCACTGAAGAAGGATGGAATTCATAAAAGCAAGGGGATCCTTTGAAACCAGTCTTGGTTTTATTCAGACTTATTCTTGGATGCTTCTGCATATGCTGGGTGAGATTTATTTGTGCATTTTAAAGACGAGTTTTCCAACCATCAAAAACAAGTGATGGTGACAGTTCTTTGTGTTTACTGTGAATGAAAATGCCTCCACCTCAAATTAAATAGATTTTTAAAAAGCTATTGAGAAATTCACTTCTCATTAATATAATCATCTCTTCTTTTCTTGTAGTTTTTTAGTGGCTGGTAAGAAAAATATGTTGCCAAGAGTGTTTTGTTTCAACTTTCATATTTGCTGTGATATTTTTGAAATAGGCACTAAAGCTAGCTGGTACAGGGAATAAATAATTTGTGTCATGATTGTCAGCAAGAGCACATGTGGTGTCCAGGCTACAGTTTCTCACATTCTTTCACCTGTTCTTGATGTCTCTCATCATGAAAGGCTGTCATCTTGTTTTTAATCTGGCAGTGTTGGATAGATTCCGTTTCATGACTCTGTCCTTTTCAAGCTTTGGGTGTTTGCAGGAAGTAGTTATTAGTTCTCTTCTTTAAGTGCAGTTCCACGTAAGAGACTTCTTGATTTCCTTTTTGACATAGTCAGATTAGGAAGTTAACAGTTCTGAAAGCTGACAGCCTGATGTCCGTGATAGTGCCATGACTGTGTGTGGAAAAACTTGACTGAGGTTACAGAACGTGGCAAAAGGTCCTGTTGTTGATTGCTACATCCCAGTAGAAAATTACTTAGATTCAGCTCAATCCCAAAGAGGCTGGATGAAATATATTTTGACCTGTAGGATGGAGAAGGTGAATGTTAGCCTTTCATGTTTTCAGTGTCACTGAACTATTTTTAGCATTATCCCTTGTGAGATTGCCACAGGTAGTTGTAGGGTGTCCACTTGTGTGAATATCCTTCAGCTCTACTCCTGAGGAAGTACTGAGATTAGAGCTCTGTGGGCACTGTCCCAAATAATTTCAGCAGTTCCATCTGAAGTTGACCTTCATAAGCAGTTTTTTTCAGGAACCTATGTAATAGAAAATTTTCAAAAGCAAACTTCTTCCAAAAGAAAGAGCATGTACGTCAAGAGAGAAGATTAAGTCAAGGAGTAAACATAGTATTTTGTTTCCTTTTCAAAAGACTTGTAGATTTGCCCATGTCTGCTTTAGGAGAAAAAGGTGGTATTTTTACAGTATTTTGAGCAGTTATGTAGTTGTGCATTTTGTAGGACTGTGAGGTCTGGGTTTTCTTGGAAGGCAGTGTGGTCCTGAGTACACTAATAGGCTTTAATGACCCTGACTCAACTGGGGCCTTTACCTGCCCTGCTCAGGACCCCATGCCAGCCCCTGCCCCAGTGATGCTGCAGCAGAGCCATTTCCAGATCACCACAGCCCTGGCCCCATGTCCCATCCCAGCCCCAGCCTGTGTCCTGGGATGGCACCCAGTGCTGGGGCTGCCCCCAGAGCCACCCCCCTGGTAGCTCCTGGACAGAGTGATGGGGTAGCTCTAGATGGTGAGGCCCTGCCTGGCCACTCCCAAGGGTGCCCTGGCCATTGCTGTGCTCTGGGCAAAGGAACATCACATCCTACCAAGCACAGAGCCACATGAATGGATTATCCTCTCCTCAGTGAGTGGTAGGAGAGGATTTTGGGACTGGTGACAGAAGATTGCCATGACTCAGCTCTTGCATTATGTGGCAACTCCTTGATAATGGAAGATGTGAGGTGGAAGTGCTGAACGCCAAACATTGCTTGTCAGTATGTTTCAAGAAATGCTTTACTTACAGAAAAGAAATACTGTTAGGGCTTAGTCTTTGCTGCAGAGCAACTCATTGTATTTCAAGTGTTTCTGTCACCAAATGCTTCACATTCTAGGTCAGGAATGTTTTTTATTTCAAGAGCAAGCCAGTTAGTAGCTGTAGGCTTAAAAGCAAGTGAATACAGCTACTAATAATTGGCTACTAATGTGGTCTTGCAGTATAAAAGTGAGCCTTCCCTTCACCTGTACCAGTTCAGGCTAAGTGGGGTAACCCAAGGTGTGAGCTAGGCACAAGCCTAACTAGAGGATCAGTCCCATTCCTGAGGCATTTGCAGACCAAGAGAATTACTCTCCTATGCAGATCCTAGTAAAAAAAAAAAAAAAAGCTTTTTAAATCTGAAAATGTACTTGCAGTTCTGTTGTCAGGTCAATATCATATTTGAATTGCACTCGAGTCCATGAGTGTCAAAAGCAGGTTTCTAAACAATGTATTTTAAAAGGAATGAGTAGAACTGTGTCTCTGAGGGTTCTCCATTATAGCTGCCCAGTTCTCCTGCATCTCTCATACATGCTGAAATTCATCAAAAATGAAATATGGCAGACCTTTTTCTGACTGTGGGCCAAAATGCATGGTAGAGAAGGTAGATTCTCTTGAATGATTCTTTTAAATAACTGATGTGTGCACTGAGATAGCTACTTTGAGTACTTGAGAATTTTATATTGAGAATATTGAGTGTTTAAAAATCAATATAGAATGAAATTTTTAACTCAGAAATATGGTTTTAGGATGGGTTTGGTTTTTTCCTTGTTTCTCAGTTCACAGTGATCTGTGTATAACCAGAGGTATAAAAATATCCAGTGATCTTTAGGATCTCAAATTGTGTGTAGGTTGAAGTAAAACTTAAAAAAAAAGGACAGGATTGCTATCTGTTCAGCTGATAGTCTGTATTCTGCAACTAGATTTATTCTAGTAATTGATATAAAGTAGTCAAAAGCTCTGCTTTTTCATGCTGTACTTTTCAATATATTTTGATAGAAAAATAGTGTGGTGATTAAATCTAGAGTATAGATACCTTTTTGATGATGCACTGAAATGAATAAAATGAAGTGAAGATACTCTGTATTGTTTGAAAGCATTCTGTGTTATGCTGGACATTGTTATGATGTGAATATTATATTTATTATGTAATGGAATCTTGTCTTTTAGATTCAAAGAATATTAAAAAAGACAAAGATGGAAAGAATCAGCAGGCAAACAACCCATCTTTAAAAAGTGGTAGGTATTGCAGCTGTCAGATTATTAGTTAAGGTACTCTAAAAGAAAGTGTGTGTTTGGATTGTACTGTTTTCTGACTTCTTTCTTTTTTTGTTGGTATTTCTTGGGATATTACTGGTGGGTAGTTAAAAACATACCTTTATTTTTGTCTAGCTGTTGGGAAAGTATGTTTTGGTATAGAAATTAATGGTTGAAACTGCTTGAGTTGAACCTGCTAGTTTTACTAGCCAAGATAAGTACTCTTTGTATGTATAATCAAAGATGCTATGTAAACATTATTATTTTTAAACTGTTACTGATTTGTCTGTTCTTCTCATCATGTATTTCTCAGTTTCATGCCTTTTCTGCTGCTGTTGCCTTCTATTTCCTTAATGTGTTTCCCCGTGCCAAAAGAAGGTTTTTCAGTTTAATAGCTTTGAGTTTTTAGGAATGCTAACTGTGTTAAATTGTCTGGGATTCTAATTTTGCTTTAAATAATTGATTTGAAAACAGAATTTGTGGTAATTTTAGTAAACTGAGCAAAAGTGCACACTTACCAGAAATGATCCAGATTCTTAGCTAACTTAGCCTCTACTATCCTCAGCAGGTGCCATAAGGTAGTGTATACATGAGATTGCTGTCAGGGTAGCTTCTGTGGGCTGCAGTGAGACAACAGCAACATCCTAAGATACCCTTCACATATTCATGTTGTTTGTTTGAATTTAAGCCAGTAAGAAATGTCATGAGTAGTATTAACTAAAGTACAAAATCTCTTCAGGAGTTCCTGAAAAAATGACATTGAACTGTTTAAACTCTCACTCTGCTCACTTTTCTGCGCCCTCTGACTCCTGATGGATGATCTGGTTCCTCTTGGGTACCAGTGGAGACAAATAGCATAGTCACTGATCAAACATGCCAGGATACTGACACATTCACTGGATAACTGAGGTAATGACTTTGCATAAAAGATACAATACCAATCATAGTACAGCCTTCAGCTATTACATTTGCCAGAGCTAATTTTTTCATTTATTGGGATTCTGGCCATCACAGAATAGCAAAGGTTGGAAGCAGCCACTGGAGCTCATTTTAGTCCAATCTGCTGCTGAAGCAGGATCCCCTAGAGCACATTACTCAGGATTGCATCTAGAAAACTTATAAACTTGAGGAAGAGAATCCACAACCTCTGTGGGCAACCTGTCATCTTTGTTATTTGTCCCTGTTACTTTTTGCCAGAAAAAGAAGTGTATTTGTCTGTTTTTCCTTCTAATACAGTGTAAAAGGAGCTCCAGTCAAACTAGACTCAGCGTGTGTGTTTTAAATACTGTTGTTTGACATGACAGACGGAGTGCTGTAAGACACCCCCCACCAGCAAAGTGCTTTTCATATGTGGATAAGATAACCATATTTAATGAGTCACTGGAAAATGTCCCTGCCTCCTCCTGCAGTTGAGAGCAAGGTGTTGAAAAAGCTTTGTGGAGAAGCAGTGCTAGGCAGGCAAGCCTTATTCTGTGTCCCATGTTCTTGACTTGGTCTGTGCTGTCAACCTAATGTCTGGGAACTGAACTTCATCATGAAACCTAGGCTCAGCTCTGTCAGACAGAGAGGAGTTTCTTGCAAGATCTCTAGTTTTCTACAGATAAGATAATTTTTTGTCCTGTGTTGTTGCTTGTTGGTGGCAAAGGAGCAGAAAGAGCATCTTTATGCTGGATGAAGAAAGGTGCCATACAATGCTTTGGGCTAGCAGCTAGGAAGTCTTCAGAGTTTCCAGGGGAATGTGATAGGAAGAGTCATAGAGGAGATACAGAGGTGTGAGAAGAATGGGTTAAAAAAATTGTCTGAAGTGAGTAGAGAAAAACATGAGAAGGAGAAAAATTCTAATTGAAGGATTACAACATACAGAAAGAGGTACAAGGTATAAAGCGGAGTATGAAATACCTTACACTTAAACCGCTGTATTTGGAAGAGTGTGTGAACAAAATTAAAAATAAATCTCATCTTTGAAGAACAGAGATTGTGGGATGAAGACTAGAAAAGATCCGTCTCCATGTCCAAAGTCTCAGATGGGTGCCAAGGGAACCTAGGGTGATCTGAGAAGACATGACTTGTTCCATCTGCCCAAACAGTGTTTAAGCTATGGTGATGCTGTGTTAAATTAACCTGAATAAACCAGGACCTTAAATTCTGCCAATCTGCAAGTGACAATTCATACTTTAAATCTTCAGTTAAAATTTTGTAAAACTTTTGACTTACACTAAACTGAAGAACTTCATCTGGGGAAAAAAGATGGGGAGCACTTCAACAAAGTGGGCATTCACTTATTCATGGCAGCAGATGTGACACCTCCAGGTGTAGTGATGTAGGGGACTGATTCTTGCTCCTTTTGGAGAACTTGTAGTGACTGAGGAAGTTCCACCGTGACTGGAAAAGGTCAAATAGTATATGCTGTCAAGAAGGACAAGACAGGAGCACCTGGGGAAACAGGCTGGCCTGCCTGATCAAAGCCTTCTGGAAAACTGTAAAGAAAATACTTCTGGAAACCATTTCCAAGCAAATAAAGGACAACAATGAGGTTAGGGACAGTGGAGGTAGATTTACCAAGTGTGAACTGTGCATAACTGATTCCCTTTTGGGCATAGTTATTCTGGGAGGGAATAACTATAAGGGAGAGCAGTGGATGTTGTTCATCCACTTTAGCAAATGGATGAACCATCATACTTTAGCAAGGCTTTCTGTACAGTTCCTGCAGTGCCCTTTCAGCCAAAGTGATGAGGTGTGGTTTGGATAGGTAGATAAAAAATTGACTGGTCTGTCAGGCAGTGGAAGGTCCACCTTGGCAGATGATAGCATTTCTTAGGGGTCAGTAGGGCTGATGTTGTTTTATGCCTTACTATCAGATGGGAACGATTGGACAGAACACACTGCCAGACCAGTTTGTGGGCAACATCTAATGGGGAGGAGTAGCCAGTAGGCTGGAAGGCAGAACTGCCCCTCAGATGGACTTGCCAGTGCTGGGGAAGTGGAGTGGCAGGACCCCGGTGAGACACAATGGTGAATGAAGAGCGGAGCCCTGCAGCAGCCCAGGGGGAAATTGAGCCTGGAAAGGGATTTAGCAGGAAAGGCCCTGGAATCCGGCAGGCAGCAGCTGAGCGTGGACCAGCAGCGAGCTCTTGCGGCGAAAGGCGTCATCTGCATGGGGATCCTGCGGGCAGCCGGCCGGGAGGAGGCGTTCACCTTGGGGAACCTGGGAGACTGGCTGCAGAACTGTACAAGGTACAAGCCGCACGGTACAAGGAAGGCGCTGCTGTGCTGAAGTAGGCTGGATTGAAGTCCTGCAAAAGATTGAAGGAGCCAGAATGCAAGATGTAAGCAAAAAACTGATACTGAAACCAGAAGAAATGTTTCTTTTTCAGCTAAAAGAAAAGAAAGCTTTTGGGAAATGGTCATGTTATCTTCAACCACCTGTTGGGCAGATGGAAAGGGGACGGAGCCAATCTCCTCTCAGAGCCACCGTGAAAGGAGAAGTGACAAATACTGGCTGGAGCATAAGAAATTCCTCCTTGATGAGGAAATCTTCACATTGAGTCTGATGGAACCCTGGAGGAGCAGGAGGCTGAACTGGAGACCTCCTGGGGTCCCTTCTAGCTTGAGTTACTTTGGGATTGGCAGGTTTGATAAGAAGTGATAGGGTATTGATACAGCATGGCAGAGAGCATCAAGGGTCGTTGACCCATGTGTCAGTGCCAATAATGCAAGCAACTGTGGCATAAACTCAGTCCCTCCATTTTTAGATTAGTCAGGCTTTTTGCCATTGCTGCTTGTTTTGAATCACTATAGAAGAGCCTTACTCCTATGCTGGTTATAAACAAATATTTTTTTCATTTACTAAAAGCTCTAGTTACCTTCTGGTGTGGGTTTTGTTTTGATCCATTTCCATTATGTGCTGGTTTGTTTTTTAGCATAAAGTTTTCTTTTTCTCTCTAGTTTTCACTATCCTTGTGGGTTATAAAGTTGTGGTTGTTGCATAACAGTCTTTTCTTAAGGTGTTTAATTCAGCCTGCAGATTTGAGTGTGAAGAGAAATGCACATTAAATTATTTAGTATAAGCTAATTCCTTAAGGATTTCTGGTTGTCAGAAACTGCATATTTCCAGTGTCTTTAGAATTAGAAATATGTATAATACAATTGCTTCTTTACCTGTGCACTCTCAGAATACATAGAAGCTTTTGTGTAGGTATGTTTTCAATGTGCTTATCTTTCTAGAGATGCATCTTACATGTTGCAAACATACGTGTGTCTCCTATTTCTATAACTGCTAATTAAATGATAATTAGCACCATCTCTGAGAGCTTGGCTCTAATTTGATGCAGTATATCTTCACAGGTGGAGAGCTTCTAATTTTAACTCCAGGACATTTCTGCTTGATGCCAGAGCTTTTGATAGCCAGGATTTAAAGCAAAGAGCTAGGCAATGTTGTTTTCCTCTTGGCTTTATCTGCAGCTGGCTGCTTGTTTTACCTTCTGTGTCTTTCTAGTAAATGTTCCCTTGAAAAAAAAACCTGTTTCTTTCCCTCTGTATTTTTGGTGATTCCACAAACTTTATCATCCTGTTATTAAAATTGAGATAATTTTGGAAATGTTACTGTATAATTTCTTTGGAGGAGGTGAACTGTTTCTCCTGGTAAATGCAATGTCACTCAAGAATCTGTATTTGTCCAGTCCTTAACACAGTGAAGCTATGATGCATGACTACAGCTTTTACATCATGTTAGATCTGAGACAGCTGGGACACAACTCATGTTTTCTTTAGACTAGATTTAATGATGTAAATTAGGTTTATTAAGGTAAACTGATTGAAAAACGGTTTTTTTTAAATAAAAGCATTAGGTAACTGAAGTGTCAGCTTTATTATTAGAGTCCAGGATGAATTTTTGTAAGAGAAAACCTTGTTATCAGTTCATAGTATTTATTTTTTGCATCCTCCTTGGCCTATTAATGAGAAGAGCAACAAATCTGGAGGCTACTTTCTGGGTAAAGCTCTGAAGAACTATTTCTGCCTTCCTGAAATACAAATAAATGCTTAAATTATTGTATCCTGCATTTTGTAAGTAATACAAAACCAGTGTTACTGCATAAATGTGTGAATAAAATTTTCATTCCAAAATAGGTGGAATACCAAGATACTGTGTAGAAGTGTCTTTGTTACCAGCCTGCATATATTCCAGACCACCAAATTAACAGCTTTTGACATTTTAATGACTTGTCTCTGACTTCTCACATAGCTAACAAGCACATGGCTTCTGCAGTGCCAAGGACAGATGACTCGTACCCTTTTGAATCTGTTTCACCAAATCCAGGACTTCAGCAGGCCCAGGGGATGGTTCCCTTTGGTTTGAGGCACTTGATATTGTCAGCTGAACGCTGTGCTCCTGCAGGTAGACTCTGGCTTTGAGCCACCACACATTCTTCACAGAAGCTGTGTGTGAGTGCTGGAAAATGCTGCCATTTTCTGATCGTTTCTTTGCTTCTCCTTTCACCTGAAAACTGCAGAGATGTGTTTAAGTGTCTGTGGCAAGTGGCATTTTTGGAAGAATTACTGTCACACCGTGAGCAAGCTCTCCATCATCCCCAAGGACTTTGTTTTAGGCTGTGTGAGTGGCTGTTAGTGAGCCACTGGGTGGCATCACTGCATCGTTTTGGGTTTATTGGTGCTTTATTCTTCTGGAACATCGGAAAGATGCCAGCTGCCCAAACAAGAAAAATAAGCAAAAGAGCTCCCTTAGATAATTTAGTAACAAAAATATTAGCTGTGCCATTGTAGCTTTTCTCTTACACTTTATATTAAAATAATTAATATGCTTACTTATATCTTCCATGTGGGTACTTCATATTTTTCCATCAAATCAAATGCAGAATCCACTTGCCCAAGCACATAAACAATGACGGTATTAACACTGGAAAAAATACCATGATTTTGTTACTTAACATAGCCATAATATTTACCTATATATACCATATTACATGATATTCTACAAAAAGAAACCTTTATGTGACTTCAGATAAAAAGAGACAAGATGCAACTGGAAGACTGTGCTAACCTCTTTGCTTTCTAGTGGATAGTATTCATAACATATATTTCAACAGTATCCATGTGTCTGTGTTTTTCAATGTATATCATCTCAGTACTCATATGAGGTTATATCAACTCTTCTGTTAAGGGAAATAAGATATAGTAAGGCTAATGTGATTTATATAAGGATGCTTGGGAGTTCCTTATGCAGAGAATTGAATCTAGATAGTCTGACTTGGATCATTTTGCATGTGGAGCCCAAAAAAAAAAAAAATTGAAGGAAAGTTTATATTGATTTTGCCTATTGTGTGTTCACCCCTGTAAATTAATATTACTCTTGAAGCTCCTTCAAGGTCTGTGTGTATTTCCAAAGGTGGAGTTTCCATTTGAGAATGATTCTGCTCTTGAAAAGAATGTATTCTGCAAGATGGGTTTTCTGTCCCTTTCCTCAAATCCTCATTTAATTTAAGTTGCCTTTTAAAAAACTCTGTATATGGTCTTTTTTTTAATCTTGTGTCTTCCAGAACAGTTTAATTGGGATGATTATCTGAAAGAGACTGAATCAGTAGCTGCCCCCCTGCATTGTTTCAGACAGGTATGCCAGATAATGTTTTGCAAATGTGTGTGTATGTATGCTTGTTACAGGTGATCCTAGAAAAACTTCCACATTTAGACTGCTTGTAGACTTCCTATTTGACTTCTTTAGATCTGTAGTTATCAGTAGCTTACAGTTTTGGCAGTTACTAGCTACGGAAGTTTTTTCATTCTTGGTTTTTGCCTCAAGCCAAATTTTGAGGGTTTCATTAAAATTGTATCTTTGAAATTTGTTTTCCTTTAAAAAAAAAAAATACTAGTTAATGAAAACAGATAGTCTTGTCTGTGTTCAAAAATGTTTTCTATTTCTTTTTCAATATTCTTAGCTCTACCATGGTTTTAGTGAGAATTAAAAATTTGGCTGATTGTCAGAGGAGTCTTTCCTCTGCCATTTTTGAAAGATTTCTTTCAATTCTGTTTAGTTATAAAGTATGTGTAGTAGAGTTTAGTCACCACTTTTTTTTCTTGATCTCTAATATATTTCATTTTATCTCTTACTGAGCAGAGTGCTTTCTACTTAGGGGTAACAGATACTAAAATTGAAAAAAAAAAAAATCAAGTGGACTATATGGGAATATAAAGGAAGTACTGGATTTATAATGAAGGGTATTTATTGTACTATTTTGTGTTACACTATACCCTACAAGTTTGATCCCCCCTACCTGATGGTTTGGTGTGTATTTGCAGATGCAGTTTAAATCTACCATCTTGTGTAAGCTAATGACCTTCAGTTATTCAGCCCTCTGGAGACTGAGTCAATCTCTTTAGGCATCTTTTTCTCTGTTTTCCTAAGCTGAGGTGTATCTTGTCTGTGTAAAGTTAAATAGGATTCATTTTGGTCTGTGTGCCCTCACTGTGTTAGGAAGATAGTTGCTAAGGAACTGGATTGTTCAGGTTCATAGATGTGTAATAGGTGTGACAAGCAGTGCATGTCTAGTTTAGTGGCTTGGGCATGTTCTGAAATTGTTTTCTAGGGTCTGTTGGTGGTCTGATTGTACTGTAAATGATACTGGCCTCCAGTGTGGGCCCAAACAAAAAACAGCATGAACTGAATAGTCATCAATTGGTGAATCTGAAGCAGTTGCAGGAATGGAGAATAAGGAGAGAGAAATGCAGGTGGTAGCATTTCCTCATACTAGATCTTGAATCTCAGCTTTCTCTTTGCATATGAAGATAAAGGCCAAAGAGCCCCTTGCATGCTGCCTTCAATGAGAGGTGGCTAAAACTGCTAATGTCCATAGCTCTGGGTGGAGCTCCAGAAATTAATTTCACAGTATGTATTTTTCACAAGGCAGACACCTCAAATTCCTCCTGAGTGAAGGCAGAGGGTGGTATATTGTCCCTGGGTCTTTCTGAGGTTAATGCCATACTCACAGATCAAAAACCATGAGCAGATTGTGTGCTTCCAAGGAACATTACTGCAGAAAGCTGCTCAAAAGCCTTTCCACATACCTTTCTTGCATTTTCCTCATCCCTGATAATGCTCAAGAAGTTTGAACTGAGCAACCAAATAATGCCTTGAATAGAGGTGCTTAGGTGACATGCATTAAAAGAGATAAATCCAAACGACCTGAATTGCTTAAGGAGTGTGTGAGTTGGAAAGAAGAGCTTTAATTTATGTGCATAGCAAATTTCAAGACCATTTGCATATGCAGATTTTCAGTTCTAAGAGTCAACCTTTAAGTAGAAAGTGATATGCAATGGTGATAAGTGCAGAGCTAGATCCTCTCACTACATAATGTTTGCAGATCTCAGAACCTAAAGTGCTTGTGCTTTGTGTAGGACTAATTTGACTTTTATTGGGTTACATGTGAATGGTACATGTCATTATTACTCTGTGTAACGCAAATAAATACATTGCTGTGGCCAGCCAGAAAATAAAGAGCAGAGAAAAACTTAATTTGATAATTACATTCAGAATTTGTGACCTGTGGGAATTTTAAAAGTTTAAATTTTGTGGTAATTAAAAATTACCTGGGGAACAATAAATTAAAGTCTCTACCATAAATTAAGATACAGCTAATGGAAATTGATTAAAGTATTTATCTTAATTTAGAAGGTATTTTATCTGTTGCTTTAAGTTGTTTTTAATAACTACTTGAAATTTCAAAGCACTTCATATTCCTTTTTCTTGCCCTAAAACTTTTTCCCAAGCAGTTGAAAATTTTAAATGTAAAAGCTCAGTCCTTTGTGGTTTGAGCAGAACTTAAAGTAAAGCTGTTACTGAGACAGGTTTTGTTACTTTAATTAAAGCCAAACTAGCATGGAGGACTTACCTTTTGTAGAATGCCTTGAATTGTTGGTATTTAAACAAGCTCACCTTTTCCACAAACAAAGAAGCAAACTCCCCAATTTCTGAATTTCTGTTGCTTTTCCTGGTTGTACAAAATAACAGCTTGACAAGCAATATCCTGAAATTGAATTGCCCTTTAAATTTAATATGCTTGGGCTCCCCTTTCAGCCAGCCTGCTGTCTGAGTGTAGCAGTGGCAGATGCTCACTGAATTTTGCTCGCCTCTTTGGCTTTTGGGCTCAGACTCCTCCAGGGCTTCTGCTCTTGATCTAGGTGTATTGTAAATAGTGCACCTACATACTACACCAAGTAGAACAAGATGTATTTTAGACATTTAAATGTGGTGGGGAAAAAAATACTGCTAAAACTTGTTGCAGGAGCAGGTTTTCTCTTTCTTTTCCTGTGTCTGCAGACAGGTAAGTGCACTTTGCCTGCTGTGGGATCCTCACCCGCCTTGGTCAGGCAAGCACAAGGAGACATAGGAGTCCTGTGAGTGTGAATGGCCATGGTTTTGGGTATTTAACGTGCTTCCTGTATTAGAAGTCAGACTGTGTTAGTTTGGATGGGGTAACTACTGGGTTTAAATGCCATGGGGGAGGCTGCTTACAGTTCTGGGTGTCTGCATTCAAAATCAACTTTGTATTGAGGAGTTGCAGAAAAGAGTTTCCAGGGTGATAGGAGAATAGTCATCAACTCTTAAGACAAATTTTTTATTTAGATTGTTGGAATGGTACTGAGAAAGGGTCAGTTGTAGCTTTTGGTTCTATTTGCTAAGGTGCAAAAATAAATTAAATGATAGTGTTGGCCAGAAATTCCATCACTAAAATTTAGGCTGGAAATGAGGAGACAATTAAAGAGGATAGTGAGAAGCCCGTCCCAGTTGGTGCTAATATAAGGCTTTGAACATCATTAGGTGAAGTCCTTGCCTTACAATGCAATATGACAGAAGGCAAGTAATCAGACTGCAATCCAGTCAATCTCTGCCCATAGTGCGTTGATCTATGAATAAAAAATACCCTCTTTGTTCATCTGTAGCATGTGGCAAAAAGTTCTGCCTAAAGACCAAATTGCATTTGTCACATTTCTTTTCCCTGTGCTAATTAAATTGGCATTGCATTGAATGCTTGTGATTATATTCAGTTCTCTACAAATAAGCACAAGCTACAGTTTCTGTCTTAGCACAGAAGTTTTATACAACTTTAGGACTGCTTTTTTTCTTTAAAATGTTAACACAAACTCCTTTTCCTGTGTCCTTTCTTTGTAATGTAAGCATTTTTTGATAAAGAAGGGTCCAAATTTTGCTTGAATTTCCAAAATATTACTACAATGAGGATAATTATTTATTTTGAATGGAAGCTAATAAACCCTGCGGTTGGGATTTTTTTTTTTGTGTGTGTGTCTTGGGTTGTGTTTTGTTTTTTTGGGTTTTTTTAAGTTGAATTGTCATATTTCCTCATGTCCTTGTATGCCATTCACTTCATATTCTTATCCTCATAAAAGTTCCCTTGTTACCCTTCTTAGCATCCTTATATTTTAGAAATATATTATATATAGATATATTATATAGATATATATAGATATATTATATATCTATAATTTTAGAAAGCAATCACGCTTATGCAGTTGGTGGGTTGCCCAGTTGCCTTTTCTGACTTGCTGCTAGACACTCAAAGTTTAAAAGCTTAATATTTATCATTTTTATGATAAATTTGGAAGAAATAAAGCTGTATATTTACTGGCTGGTAAATTCAGCAATATTTACAATAATAAGAAAAAGTCTTTTGCCCTTTATTGTAGTCTAGAATTCCGCCCAAGAACGATTTCAAAGTTGGTATGAAACTGGAAGCGCACGATCCTCGCAATGTTACCTCCGTTTGTATAGCTACAGTAATTGGAATCACTGGTGCCAGGCTAAGGTTGCGGCTGGATGGAAGTGACAACAAAAATGATTTCTGGAGGCTTGTGGATTCCTCGGACATACAGCCCATTGGGACCTGTGAAAAGAAAGGGGGCATGCTTCAGCCTCCACTTGGTAAGTAACAAAGCTGCTGAATAAATGTGTGTGGAGTATTGCTTTCAGGAAGTCAAATTTATCTTTTTGTCTTGGCAAATTCAATGGTATGAACATTTCACCAAACCATTATTTAATTGAAAAAGAGGTAAGTAAACTAATTCTGGCTAAGTGGATTGTGGCTTTTTCTTATTTTTTCATTCTTCTGACATAAGAATAAGCGGCTTTGTTTGTTGTTTTTTTTCTTTTTCAATAGGCCCTTAATGTTAAATGTGCCCATTCTATAAATGTTCCCTCACACACAGCCTGCCTTATGTGTGTGTGTGTTCCGTGTGTTGTTGCATGATGCTGTGCATGCTCCTGTTGGGAGCCCTCGGAAAGAGCTGGAGAAAGCCAAGTTGTTCCTTTACTCTTCATCAGTGCATCTGAGCAGCTCACAAGAGGGTACTGGGAAGCCTCAGCAGGACTGTTGGGGGCACGCCCCTGCAGGGCAGTCAAGATGTTTCCTTTGTCACCAAGCAAATTGATTGTGCTCTAGGACAGGCAGCATAAGGTGGGCTAGTGCAGAATTGCAGCATTCTGCTCTGAATTTTTATTCTGAGGTAGTAAAAGGAGCACTCCAGAACTCTAGAAAACTGCAGGCTTAGACTGTGTGATATTCTCATTGCCTCAAATAAACATATGTTCAGGAATGGCAGATCAGTTTGTCATTGTGCTGGTTTGTGAGCACAATGGATGCTTATGAGCAAGGCATAGCTTTCCTATGCTTAGAAATACCAGGCTGAACTTCTTTTGCCTTCCATGAGCAGTATGAGTGACAACATTGTGTCTCCCCAAATTGAGAAACAGTGCTTGGATTTAGTCTATTAAATAGGGAATTCTAGAGAGCAATTCCTTGTTACCTGGTTAATGGTCAGAGATAACTTGGACTAAACCGCTAGAGGTAGTAAAATGTGACATTGCCTTTCTTTGCTGTGATTAACCTGTATATTTAGATCTGCATTGTTGTACTGTATTTGTCAATACCTTAAAATTCTATATATGGAAATACTTAAAGATTTCACAATGATCTGCAAATAGTCTTGCTTTTAAAAAAGCAAAGAATAGTGGATGGAAGAATAAGGAAGACTAATGACCAAAATTTACCTGTACACTCTCTCCCCTTTATCTTATGATCTTCTGTAATTTTTAGAAGATTCAAGAAATAATAAAAATAATAAACTAAAATAAAAAAAATTTCAGTAGCCTCTCAAAAACCTTGTTATCCTGCTTTAGAAGCAACTTCCAGTTTTTCTGTTTGAAAGATGAAGTGAAAAATATTTCACTACAGTGTGAATCTTGATTTGCTTGTAGAGAGAGAGAGGAACAGTTGACATAACCATTAAGACACTTCACATAGACTATAAGGCTAGATTTTTGTGCTTTTGTGCTCTTCAGAAACATGAGAAGCAACCATGGTGTCAGTGTAGGAAAATATTGCTTCTCGTAGATACAGCTTGAGCCCAGAAAGGCTTTTTTCCCCTTCTTTCCAGTGGATATATAGAAGTTTTGAATGAAAACACTGGAAATTCCTGGGGGAAAGTATATTTTTTTCTTCTTCTTCTTCTTTTTTTCCGAGAAATTGCTCAGTTTAGCTTCTCTGAAGTTCTTGATATAACCTTCTAGAATGAAGTGGTACCAGTATGAAAAATGGAACAGTTTACAGGTTTCTTCAGTTGTATACTTGTACAGTGTTAAAAATATGGTTTCAGGAGCACAGCAGTTTTTAAAATGTGTTTCTAAGTCAGAGTGATGAATAAAACAACTCTGGTTATTTGTGATGGGGGCAGGTGGTTCGTTAAGAAGAGAAACTTTCCATGACCATCAGTAGAAAGGTCAATGCCTGATCCTCAGATACTGTTTCTTTCTCTTACATGGGCAGACTGCCTGCAGTGCAGCACCTAACAAGGAGCTCCTTCACTGCACCCAGGCATGTAAGCTTACCTGTGCTCTGAGTTGCTGGTTATTCAGAAAAGAACATGAGTGCCACTATTTTAGCCCTCCTGCCCTAGATTTTTCTAGAGATAGGCTGAATTCCAGCAATCAAACATTCTGGCATACCTAGATAAATTTTTGAAAAAGCCTTTTTGGCAGTTTTGCAGCATCCTGTTCCTGGGTAAAGCTGGGAGCTAATTGAGTGTATAATTACCTCCTGTTAGAAATTTAACCAACGGATTATTTTTTTTTCTTTAGTAGTAGGGAACCTTCTGGATACTAATGTTCCACTTCTATCATAATAACCAACTAAAATAGTCCCTCCTACCTGATTTTTACATGGCTTTAATTATGCATGTTGCATAAGGGTTTTGAGAAAGTGATTATTGCACCAAAGTGTTCCTGTTCCAGCCTATGTTTTCCATAGATGAGCTTTTTGTTGTTGAGAGCTTAATGTTCTGAGCAAATTACTTTGCAGATAGCATTTGCTCTGGTTTTACCAGGACAACTTAAAGGCCAAATGAAGTTAATTGAAACTGTTGTTTAGTTGTTAGTCCTCTGTCTTGCTTGTATATCTTTTTCTGAGCTACCTAGTTGGGAATATTGGGTTTCAGTAACCACACATATGTTCAGGTTTTACAGAGACTCTGGTTATGAAACCAGGCCTGACAATCAGCTCAGTAGTCCCCGAATTATGACACCATTTATCATACAGGAGCTGTGGATTAATTTAAGTGTTGCATTGGTAGTTCTGGCTGGAAAACTGTTTATTTTACTGAAGATGGCTTAAAGCTATGAGCTAAAGAACCACTATATATGTAGTACTATAGCATATAATCAAATTTTAGATGACTAAATTATTTAACTGATCAGGAATTGCAGATATATTCCACTTTTCCAGTAACAGATTTTTAAGACAATTGTTAGAGATCAGTTTTGAAGGAATTCATGAGCTCTTGGCAGATTATGGTACTATTTGCTTTGTGGAAAAAATTTCGATTTGCTGTATTATGTCTGTTACTCTGCAGAACTGTTCCAGAATCTAACTGCTATAGAAGCAGAAAAAAAAGTCCACTGTGTCTGTTATCTTACTCATTACTTTAAAACATTCATTTGGAAAGCAAAGAAAGCAAAATGATTTTTTGTTTGTTTTGTTTTATCTTTTAACTGGAAAGTGGTTGATTGTGAGGGAAGATTACCTGGGATAAGAAGGTTTTCAGCCAAACCTTTGTTCTGTTTGAATAAGGTATTTCATCTAAACAAATTTGATTGTTGTTTATGATTTTTATTGATTTTATTATTATGAAGAATAATAAAATAGACTGTCTGGTTTATGTTTTTCAGTATGATACATGATTTATTAGAACTACCTTTTTTTTTGTTCACTCTTAGGTATTATTTGTTTTTATGGCTATTTATGTATTTATTTTAGTGAGAGAGGTAGAAAAACCAGTTGCGCTGTTTTTTTGTCTGTGGTTTGGTGAAAGAATAGCAAGATTCTCAAAAATAAAAAAGTATCTTCTCAATAAATGAGCTAGAACCTGAAGAGAAAGCTAGGTGCTTGTACCACAGAAGTTCTACTGGACCAGAGAGTGTAGGAGACAACCTAATGGTCTGCTGTACTAAGATTTGCATGTCATTAAATCCTAGAAATTAATCTGTAGTACCTGATGTTATGATGAGGGATTTTATGGGAAGTCCCTCAGAAAAGAAATTAATCACATAGCTTTCTGCAGCTACAGAATTTTAATTTCTTAAATTTGTTAATTTCTTCTTTGCTATTTCTATTTTGGCCAAGTCTGAAATCGAGGGCATGAGGCACTGGTAAAACAGACTTTATAACCTTTTTCTCCTCTTGTATTTTACAAACTGAAAGTAGGGGTGTTTGTTTGGTTTTCTGTTTGTCCTCAGGGTTCCAGATGAATGCATCCTCTTGGCCAATGTTTCTCTTAAGAACTCTCAATGGAGCTGAAATGGCACCTGCAGCGTTCTTTAAGAAGGTAAGAAGAAAGGCATTTCTAGTAAACAACCTCTATCAATTGTTCCATGGTTGCATTTTTAATGAGAATGCTAAGGTATTACCCTGTTGTCTGCAGCAAAGACAGGGAAGGCAAGACTCCTGTTTAAAATAACTTTGAACTGAATTGAAATGCTGTGGAACTATAGAGAGAACTATGTGCTATAGAGAGAAAGGAATCTGCTTCTACTCCTTGGAGAGGACCATTTAGTTTCCTGAGCTGAGACTTCAAGTATGGCAGGTTAAACTTTGTTTAATAAAGTTTCATTGGGCACACACTCATCATGTAAGATGTAGTGAGAGAGAAAGTAGTTGAAAATAGCAGAAAAAGCCATTCAGTTTTTTAAACATGACTCTTGAGTAAGTTACTGTGAAATATGGAAAATTAAATAAAAATAACTAATATTAAAATGACTTGGTTCAAATTTTTTTTGAGGTGATAAAGCCCTGTTGTGTGTTCTTTTTGGATACTGAGAGTGATACTGACAAGTATGTCAGCAAATCAAACAGTTGGGTTCAGGCCTGCAATTACATCACTTGGTGTTAATTTCGTATAATTATAATTTTCTTTTAGATAAGATAAATTTTCTGAGGCATGATGAGCTGTGCTTCTCTGTGCTAGCCTGCAGCACATCTGAGATGGGCTTGGATAATAAGGTTCTTGAGGCTGAGGTGGTAATTTGTGTTCTGTCAGATCACAACTCCTGCTGTGGAGGTACACTTATGCCAGTCACATTCACTTGATTTTTGTTTTTCTTTTGTCCATTTGGAATTGGTCTAAGGCCAACTGAGTTAACAGAGGCCTATAAATAATGTCCAATGCTAATGAATTTTTCATGGATTAATTGAGAGGTAAAGCTTTTACCAGACAGTTATCAGTCCCCAGAAATATCCATGCTCTGCAAACCTCTTCTTTATTAGCATGTAATAATTTCATTTTAGTGTCTTGGCTGTCTTGCTGCCCAGACATAATGTATTGGTTGCAACCTATTGCTTATGTAAATACTTTTATCAGGGTCTTTCTGTCATGAAGGATATTGCTAATTATCCCAGCTGTGTTTGGGGGAATAGAATGAAGATTTTAGTAGTGCAGAACAGCAAAGGCAAATTTGAAATACGAGTAAGTTTCCTTGAATATTGTCTATAACTTCCTGAGCATAGGGACTATAGGTAGTAATAATGTTGAGGAAAAATAAGGGGCTGTTACTTAGTTTTGTTTTTCTTTTTCAAGAGGTCATAGAAATACAAATGTTCTACCACGCTTATTTTTGTAGGAACCACCAAAACCTGTGCCAAACTGCTTTAAAGTTGGAATGAAACTTGAAGCTATAGATAGAAAGAACCCATACCTGATTTGCCCAGCAACCATTGGAGATGTTAAAGGAGACGAAGTTTTTGTTACATTTGATGGTTGGAGGGGAGCATTTGACTATTGGTGCAGGTGTGATTCTCGAGATATTTTCCCAGTCGGATGGTGTAGCTTGACAGGAGATGCATTACAACCACCAGGGAACAATGGTAAGATGACTAATAATATTGCTTAATTGTTTTTCTCCTCAATTACAGCAGAATTTTAAAAACCAGCTGGCTATATGCAGATAAGACTGAAGATTTGATTTGTGAGTAGCAGACAAGGATGAAATGTTGAATTTTCTTTATGTAGTTTAAAGCTAATAGAAATTACTGGGAAACAATTTTTGCCTGTTCATAGTATCTCTGGCAACATGTTTTATTTAATACTGTTAGGAGGATTTCTGATGAGCTCTAATTTTTGTGTGCTTGTAAAGAATCTTGAACTAGATTTGCTGTTTGTATATTGGTAGATACATGCTCCTGTTTAGTGTACTACTGTATTGGCTGCTGCAGCATTTTATGTTTTGCTAACTGCTAAGTAAAGTAGTCTTTGCTTCTGTGATGATTGCAGGTCTGAACTATATATTTAGTGTTTCTTCTTTCGTTCTCATGAAATTCTGTCTTGCAGCTGCCTATTCTGAATGCTTTGTCATCCTCTTGCCTTTAGGGATGTTTGTTGTTCAGGTGATAGTGTCTCTTTAACTAATGGCCACTTTATAAGGAACAGCTCTCTACCTTAGAAAGAAGGGAAATAGCATGAATAGTCCCTCAGTGTAATCCCTTTCCTACCCTGGGGACTGCTTGTCAGGTTTCTGTAGTGTAAGGCTTTTCTATCAAACCGTTTGAGCTTTTCTATCCCCATCCCATAAAAATTTGTCAGGAAGAAAGGTTTTGAAGGAGAGGAAGCATATTTTAATTAATTTCTTTATCAACCAGGATAATTTGTTCTCAGTGAGAATTTTCACAGCTGGTGTTAGGTGAGTAAGGAACAAGTAGATTGGTGTCACAGAACTCTCACTGGAAGTAGGAAAGGAACACGGAAAGAAGCAAGAAGGAAGAAATCAGTAAAGTTTCCTGGTCTTTCCATCCCCATGGTTTTTCTCAGTCTTGCTAGCAGATCAAGAGCTATATGGAAAATCTGATTGGAATTAGTTAAGGGTACTTCTGCGTCCTTGCTCTCACCTGCCTATCTGAAGTTGCTGTCAAGGGGTCATAGTACCTGGAATCAAGTTTAGTCCATTCTGGCAGATTTCAGCAAAGGAGTTTACACAAATTATGTGTGTAGCTGTACTGTCCAAAATGATATGCTGGTACAAACCTGCAGTGAGAGGAAAGCGGAAAGTCAGGTGAGGATGTTGTAAATTTCATTAGAAGTCATCTAATAGGTACCACACTGACCTTAGTCTTAATGTTTCTGTGCTCCCAATCTCTAAAGTGTCTCTCAGCTTCAGAAGGTTGACCTTGTCTTGGTGCTTGAGCAGGGAGGTTGGACCAGATGACCTTGCTGCAGTCCCTTCCAACCTGACCCATTGTATGATACACAAGAGGAGCTGTGTAAATAAATGGCATAAAATTTTTAAAACATATTTTTGTGACAGTTTGGATTACTGAGTCCAATTTCATCTTCTGGAAAGAATATTATTAAATTGTTTAGTCTACTCTAATTTCACTGCTGGAAGGCCAGTGATATTTTGAGGTAAGATATCCAGAATTTTTTCTTGCCTAATTAGTGCTTGATAGAGTTCAAAGTTGTTTGACAATAAGTAAAGCTGGTTATGTAATCCAGTTCTTTGGGTAATAAACCAAACAAAATTCAGACTTGAAATACCTATCCAGGTAGGATACTATTGCTTTGTAATGAGAAACAAAAATGCTCCAGGCATTAATAAAATCTGAAGCAAGGTTCTTACAGATTGGTAGTTAAAACTGAAAATTTTTGACATGTAACAGAAACTGAATGTAGAGGAGTGTAGGCTGGAGTGTGTTTTATTTTTGATTCCAAAAGTGAGCCCAAAGTTAACTGCAGTTTTATTGAAATTGTGTATTCAACAATTAAATAATTGTAGTCGGTAACAATTTATAAAAATTAAATTTAACAATATAAATTTTTATAAGTAACAATATTATAAATAACTGCGCATAAATAATTTTTTATTTCTATTTTGCTTTGTGTTGTTATTTTTATTTATTTTATATTTTATATTTGTGTGGGTGACTTGTTGAATTTGCAGCTGGATGAAATATGTTTTGCACTCAGGTTAGGTTTTTCACTGTTATTTGTTCGCTGTTGAGCCATTAAAGAACTGCGATGACAATCCTTTATTAAGATGTAAATAATAGCTTCAAGAAGAAGTAATTTCAATTCAGAAATGTGATGAAGTTGTCAAGGTTCTTCATTACGTCACAATAACACTGACTACTCCTATTAAGAAGAAAATATGACAGGTACTACATTGCAGGGATTTGCTTGGAGTATTGAAGTTTTATTCTGGTCTGGACCTTTTTCCTGCTGGTTACCTCAGTATTTCTGGCTTGAATTTCTGCAACAGAAAGTGAAAATAATTGATTTAAGAGTGGCTTGAATTCCAGAGTGAATATGAAAAGTATTCTTGATTTTTGTAAAGCTGAAAGCATTTAAATGTGTTCAATCACTACTTAGAGGGCTGAAAAAAAAAGCCTCAGATTTTAGTGAACATGCAAAACCAGAATCCTTCAATCTATGTGTGAAAGCAATAAAGGATGCTTTAAATTTCATTCATACCTAGACCAACAGTTTCCTGCCAGGAGATGTATTTTGGGGTCTAATTTAACCTTTTGAAAGAGAGATGAAATGCAGTAAGGGAGACAGTATGAAAATTAGGGAAGATTTTAGTTCAGCTGTCTACTGTCTTAGCCTTTTAGGATTCCCAGAGAGAATGTAGGACCTCTGCCATGGGAGGTGTTTAAGAGCAGTTTAAATACAGGCTTCTAGGATGTGGGGGATTTTTTTCAAACCAGATTGATTATGTCTTATTTTTACTCTTTATAAACTGTATATTCTGTACCTCTCATTGGTATTAGACAGCTCATGAACTAAGGTAGAAGATAACACAGAGATGTTAGGTGAAAAGTTGTTTTGGACCAACTGTTCAAGGCCTTAATATTTGTGTTTGTTTTATCTTTGGTCCTTACCAGAAGATGTAACGTCAGTGGACTTGGCTGGATGTCAGGGTATGTGCACAGTGGTATGAAATGTACCATTCAATATTTATACTATCAGAAGTTGTGCTTAGCTAATATTGTAGTTCATGTCATTAGAAACTCCAGTAGTAGTAATTGGTTATGTATGGTTTGACTTCAGTGCTTGATGTTGACTTGGCCCACTGCCTTGAGGTTAGTATTTTAAGGATGCAATAGATTGTTTTCTCTGTGTACCTTGATCATTTAAATGCTTTTAGAGATGACTTGTTACACATAAACAGTATTGTGAAAAGTACCTAATGAAAGAGATTGACATGGTAATGATCTGTGCTGGAGCAGTCTGAAGGACCACCTGCTCTTGAAGGCTTTCTCCAGCACTGGCTGAAAGCAGATGTCTGAAGAAACACATAAGCACATAGGAGACAGGTTTGCACAAGTGTTCCTAGTATCTGTGCATCTATAGCCCAGCACCTTCCAAGCCCAGAGTAATGTTTTTATGCTGTTTACCTTCTCAGGTACTCAGCATAAAAGGGGAGGATTTTGATCTAACCTGTTCTGTTACATACTAGAGCCATCTGAACTTTTAGCTCCTACAACATAAGGCTTTCTCTACTTGAGTATATTTTTTGTGGAAAAGGAGATATTCCTTTTCCTTGCTGATAGTGTCATTTGTTGTCATTGTTTCTTGTACTGAAACAGGTTCTTGTACTTCCAATACTTTTCAGGAAGATGTTGGTTTTTTTGTTTAGGGATCAGTTTTATTCCTCTGGTCTCCCCTGTTCTTCTGTACTGTTTTCTTTTCACTTACAGCATTTTTGAGCCACTGGATCCAGAAGTGCACAATATATGGAAACTTAGTGACATAGTGGTGCCTTCTGTTACGTTTTCTGTTCCTTCTGTGATTATTCATTAACTGATATTTGGGATTTTTGGACTTTTTTACTGATACTGTATGCTTCCTTGGAGTGAGTATGAATGCAAAAAAAAATTCAGTCTTGTTGCTTTACTGTTACCGCCTGCATTTGCTCATTCTGAAATCTGGTTATCTCTTGGGTCCATGTAACTTCTGCTTTAGATATACTATTAAGAAAGCTTGTAAAGTTTTATGTATTTTGCATTTTTTTTATTCACTCTGTTTCTAGGCCAAATGTATTTAACCGCAATAGACTGTGATTTTTACTTTACTCAGTTGAATAATAGAAATGTTACTATACGCAAGAATATTCTTGATATTTTTGTATTGCTCTGTAGCTTGTTGTATTTGAGGCTTATGATTGAAGCAGGCAGCAGGTGACTGGAGATTGTCAGAACAATTTCTATCTGCTGTTTCTGTATAAATTCATTTTACTGTTTAGCTATTACATGTAAATGGCAGTTACTTAGGCAACCCACCTTTTTATTTATAATAGAAGTAAAACCTTTTCCATAAAACAGAGAAGACAAAAGAATGATTGGGGACAAGCCATGTGGGAAACAATAAGTAGTTTCACCTGCAAAGATTGATTTCAGTATTAAGTAGTATCTATCATTTAGATGTGAACAGCATCTGGAAAGAGAGGGATCAGTTTCTACATATCCATGATCCCTCCAGCCTTATGAAGCTGGATTTTGGAAGGATAAAGGTGATGAAAAGAACTCAAAAAGTTGGAATTGCTCTCTGTGCTCGAAAAATTTGGGAAGGCAAAGGAGGATGATAAAATAATTTTCAAAAAACCAAACAAAAAACTTGATACACTGTAGCTTTTACCCTTAGTCATATTCTTTCTTTCCCTCTCCTCTGTCTCTCCCTCTTCCATACCCTGTGTTCCCTCATTGCTTTTCTCCTAATTTAGTGCATTTATTGTCAGTGAGAGCAATCTTCTTTCATTATACTAATCAGCATGTTGATGTTAAAGGTCTCCTTCTAAAACTGTCTGCAGCAATAAGAGTAGTATAGGCTCAAGCAGAGGTTTAAAAGTATCTTGTTTGTCTATTTTATGATTTCT